CGCGGCGGGCGATGCGCTCAGGCACCGAGCTCGGGGGCTACCGGGCCATGCAGAACGTCGAGCATGCAAGGCGAATTTATCACGCGGCGTACCACTCGCTGCGCGCTACACGGCCGACATCGTAAATCGGTCTGGGAAGTGGTTTAAGCGTTTGCCCGAGCCGTGTCAGCGAAATCGTATAACTTCGACGGGTCGACCGCGTTTGTCGGAGAGTCCGCCGCAGTGGCGTCGAGGCTTCAACGCCACATTGCTGGAAATTTCATCCATCAACGCGATAGAACCCCCGTCGCGGAGATTCACGCTGATCTCGACATGACCGTTTAATTTTTTAGTTTTGTTTAGAAACATAAGGTTCACGGAAAGACCGACTTTGCTGAAATATCTAAAAATTTAGCTAAATGTAAACCTGACAATGATTTTGTTAGTCCATCAAAATATTTATGTAGAAAAATTCAAGCATAATGAGTAACAAAATTTTGATATTTTAGCAGTCAATTTGAGCGTCTTAATAATTATTTTGATAGAGCAACAGAATTTATATTCAAATCTACATGTTAAATTTTTAGATATTTCAGCAAAATCATTCTTTCCGTGTTCTAATTTTACAGTAGTATTATTAAATAATCTAACATTTTTTTCTCGCTAATCAAGATTCGGAAGAATAATAAAATTTTATTCTTTATATCTAATACATAAGATAAATTTTATTCTTTAACGATTTTGGAGAGATTCAAATTTTGAAGAGATATTCAAAATCGAGAATTAGCAATTTTAAGGATGAAAGGATAGAAGTTTAACAAAATTTGCAAACGTTACACCACTGCGAACCAGCAGACCTACCGTAAAGCAAAGAGTTTGACAAGAATGTCGGTTGGCAAAACACGGTAAAGCACCGATATCAAAGACCAGAAGTTGTTCTGAACTTGCGTCCGGTATAGTCCGTCTCGCGGATCTCAAAGACCCACGCGACGGAATATCGCCGGCGACCCGCTCGTAAAGTGACGACGACGACGACGCGAATCGTCAGGCAGACCGATGACGAGAAGCGAATACAGACAGAGAGAAGGAGATGTAGATGAGAACGTAGACGGAGGTGGCGAGATGTTGTCGAGGGAGCGACGATGCTGACGACGACGACGACGACGACGACGACGACGACGGTGGTGATGGTGGTGGTCGTGGCGGACCAGATGTTTGGCTAATGATGTCAGCGGAATCGTAACTAAAACCGAGGCGGCCCCGGACTTAGCACCGGCTTAGCCTCAGCTTTGAAGGAAAGAGTCTTATTACTGGGGCCTGCACGTGCTGCTCGTGAGCGCGAAACCGTAGGGTAATTGGACCACCCACTCGACACACCAAGAGTGCCACTCTCCGCTCCCTCACTGCTTCCCTTCCTCCTTTTCTCCTCCTTCTTTTTTTGTCCTCCGTCACCGAGGACGCGAAAACGGCGGCGACCTTTCGACGAGCAGATAAACTGGAAGTCGCGCGACGACTTTCAGTCCCGACAGTCGTCGAGGCGTTTGCTCTCGTCCGTAATGTTACACGGGAAGAGATGCTAACGCATGTCCACGAGCTTATCGAGAACATTTCTTTACCACGACTCGTAAAGTTATTGCGATTGCTGGATAAATGTACGATGGGAGATTGAAAATGATAGCTGTCTCATATATGTCAATTAAAGATTACAAATGTAAATTGTTACGAGACTCGCTTATCGGAGAAGTTCTTATTAAATGTTAAAAACTGTGAAATGTATTTAAATGAAGGAATATATTGAACATTGGATTAGCTCTGAAAAAGTGTTATCTTGTGAATATTAGATTAATTTTAAAACCACCCGTTTTATTCAATATTATTAAATGATAAAATATAACTTATAAATTTTATTTCTATAACATTATTATATTTATAAAGATATACAAGTTCTTTAAACCTTGTATATTATTACTTCTTTGAAAAATAGAGTCTTAATATTTTCACAAGGAATATCTGTAGATATAATGATTTTTTGTGGCACATTAGTACCTCAAATATTTTTTAATACTTTATGTATTAAGTTAATATCGACAATTTTCCTTAAATTGGCTTATTATTGTGGAAATGGGACGCCTCGTTTGCTTCCTAGTTTTGGGACAGTGTGGATTAATTGGACCACCTACGGACAACTGGAGTTGCGACAAGCGGCTCCCTTTTCCAAATAAATACACGCGTGTTGTGCCTCATCTCGGGTAGCGGGTGGGAAGGTCTTCCGAAAGACGTTGGTACTCCAAGCAGTCGAAGCAGCAGGAGCGTGTCGTACCGTGCCGCATCTCGTCCGTGACACTCGACCCGGAAGACAAGACTGATTTATGCCTGCTGGCTCGCCGGACGGAAATTAGATGGGTTCGTGTCGAGGGATATCACTACGCTTGTTTGACATTTTTATGTGGTGCCGCCGATATTTTCTTTCGTTCAAGCACTAGCGCGCGTGGGAAGACGTTAATTAACGACATCATCTAATCACCAATTACCAAGCTCGTTTTTAAATATGACTAATACTTTTGGCGTTTTGAAAAATGTTTAGAAAATTTGATTCTTCGAAAAATTTATTAAAAAATATATTTATGAAGAATGTGTCATAAGACCGCAATGTGAATACACAATAACGAAAAAGCTTTATCGATTTGAATTGGATTTTAATGCTTAAATAATAAATTTCAGTGCAAATGCATATACAATATATACATATGTATTCAATTCTACAACTGCTAAATCATTTTCAATTTAAACTTGATCTTAATCTAGAATAATAATATCATAAATTAAACAGTCAAGTATAATTTAATAACATTAATGTTAATAAGTACCAATATTAAGTATCCTAAAAATCGTTAATAATTCGATGCTAATAAGCATCTTAAAAAGTTGCAAACAATTTATTGCGAAAAATATATTTGTCTTTTTATTAGCGTTGGTGATTAATTTGTCAAACTTTGACATTTGAACTTCAAGTTTTGAAAAGCTATGGCATTAAAATCTTTGATACTTCAAGTTTTGAAGAATCAAAGTTATATAATTATTAATTTAATAGAGCAAATAGTAACGAATATAGCTAATAATAATGAACACATTTTTATAAAAAATGATAAATTATGTAAAAGAATGATAGATCTACGTAAAAAAATATTACTGAAATTGATATATAAATTGATATAAATTTGTATTTTCTAGTTTAAAATTTAAACTAATTGATAATTAATTATCATTATTAATTAATATTATTAATTATATTAATGCAGATACAGATATTATAATAAGAAAATACATGCAAAACGTTATAATAGATAAAATACTAAGAGATTTTATGGTCTTTTGTAAAGTGAATTATCTTATTGTTATTCTTTGAAGTACATATCTGGTCACGTGCGCCTTGCGACGTAAGCTGATGCGTTTCGCGCTTAAACACGCGGAAAATTTTGTCGGTTCAACACATCTTTTTATGTTTGAAAACTTTGCAATTGTCGGAACGCAGGTATTATCCCTTGGGAATCAGGCAATGAAATCTGTCCTCAAAGATTTCGCCGAAAAGGGAGGATACTAAGCGAAGGACACCGTTTAAACGGTCAATGTCGGGAGACCTCGGAAACGGGGCCACCTGTGTATTCGTTCCATCCGTCGTGGGTGGGCCTGTAGGTAATGCGAAACACCAAACTAGGGTGTAGATCTGACTTAGGGTAGATTTCCGTAGGGGTGGCGCACACGAGCGAGAGAGGAAATGCAGCCCAACCACTTAAGAGGCTACTACAAACGTGACGATATGTAGACCAACACGTAGACAAACTTTCTCAGATTTCTTCCTGTCGACCACCGTGTTGGTCGACGGTTTTTTAAGTGCCGAGTGTGAACAAAGCGTTCTTTGCCTTCGCAGTGAGAGGTAGCTTTGCCTGTTAACGTACCAGAAAATATATTAGAATGAAAACATAAAGATCCATTATAAAGGAAATGGTTAAAATGAAAGGAGATCATTTTTTACAACTATTTACCGAAAACGAACATTATTTACTTTTTCATTATCCTTTAGACACATTTCTAAAGGAGGTCAAGGCTTTCATCTTATAGGAAAATTAATAGGTTTCTTCTTAACAATGAATTCTTTTGTGTACAATTTAAGCAATTTATCGTGTTAAAATATGCATGTAGAATATGGAATGAAAAATGGAGAGTTCTATTTAAAAAATTCAAAGTGACACTTTGCTCTTGATAAGATCACCCAAAATCAAACCAATCTTATGTCCCCCTCGAAGTTACATAACTTTTGTCTGAAACTTTTTTCAATCCCACGTCTTATTCTCGAGAAATACATTAATTAAAATAAAACATCCAGCATTTCAGAAATATGTATTGAGCTTCTCGAAACAATATTTTTCAATAAATGAAGAATTGTCCATTCTGTTGTGCTACAAAGATACTATATCGAAGGGTTAACTGTCGTATGGCATTTGAATAATATCACGGTCGCTTATTTCATTCCGATCAAAAGTAATATCTGATCTTTCAGTTTGAGTGATGAATCAGCTAGCAGCTCTACTATTCGCTAGAAAAATCTCGAAACCAGTGCATTCCCGGTTCACTCCCGTAACGCCCGCGAGGATTCACGTGTATCAGCGACGTTCCCCTATCTCTTCTCCGATCCCTCTGATTCTCCAGCTTCCTTCTCCCCCTCCTACCCTGTATAGGTAGGTCGCTTCGCCGCCTTCTTCTAATTTTACGAGCCGTTGACTCCCGATCGATGGAACGAACCGTTTCGAAACAGCCGGCCGTTTTCCGCCACGCGCCGTTGGCTGTCCGGTGACGTAATTTTCCCGAAGCGAAGCCGAGCTGTCGCGCGCCGGGTAATAAGATCGGGGAATTTGCGAGAGATCGCCGATGCTAATGCGAGTCCGGGGGCGACCGGATCTCTCCGATCGCCAATCTCCTGTCCGCCATGTACTAACCGACGGCCATTTTTCCGCCTGTTACAGATCACGAAGCTCAAGATCGACAGTAATCCGTTCGCCAAGGGCTTTCGGGATTCTTCTCGTCTCACGGACTTCGAAAGGTAAGCTCCTTGCTAACTGATGTTAAACGGCGTCGAGTTCAATAAAGTCGTCTATGACAAAAAAATTTGGAACTACATAAATCAATGTTGAGACTTCGCTTCAATTCTGTATTGATGTAGGAAAAAGATTTATCACTTTCTTTTTTTTTTTAATAATACAGTAAAAGTTATTTGCTAGCGTGTAAAATCATAAGTACAGCTACTAGCTTTAAAGGAGATCATTAATCATGATAGCGTCGAAGCCTATGACAGAGAAGATAAATTAACCGAAAATTTGAAAACGAAATGGACAGTTCATTAGTGAATTTTGCTTGTCATGGCTGACAAAAGTCTGACTCAATATCCTTTCGGAGAATTTCGCGGCTAGAAGACGGTATGCATAATGGAGCAGCTTCCCTTTTAGGGAGACGATGGAATCGATGCTGGCAGAACAGCAAACGTTGAGGTTTCCGCATCGGCTTCCCTTCGAAATGGAGCAACTCCAGACAGGCGCCGTGAACAATCTCAGTCTCGAGGAGAAAGCGTTGTGGGCTGCGCGTTCTCAGATGCTGCTGAGAGCAGCGGCGG